TCTAGTTGCAAACCCTTTAGCTGTGATATGTCACTTCTTCTTAGCTGGTTTATGTATTGTTCTTTGAGTTCTTTAAAAAGTTCTGTATCTATCTCTTTTTTAGGTGGTTTAAATTTTTGTCTGTCTCTTGTTAAAATAAAATCAATTACTCATAAGTACCTGGTTACTGAATATACTCATAATGAAGGAGACAATGTCCACTCTCTCATAGAAAAAAATATAAAAAGGAGTCACACCAGAACAGTACATGACATTACTGCAAACGGCAAAGAAAACCGGAGAACCTTTTATAGTAGTGAAAATGAGTTACGATGATTTTTTTGATATAAAAAAGTTAACTTTGCAAACCTCCTTTAATTTTAATAAAGAAATAATAATACTGTGAAGTTTAGTGAAGCATGTGTGTTTAAAGTTGAAAGATATAATTTGGACCAATTTTACTATAAGACGTCATTCGATCAGTTTGAATATAGAGCTGTAAGTATTAAACCAAGAAAAAATCTACGAACAAACAACACTGCCTCTGAATATTAGAAACATGAAATTAGAATGTGCTTGCAAAGCTCCTCTATAGATACCTAAAAGAAGATATGAAGACCAAATGGAATTATTGGGGACCAATGCTATTAAAAAGTGCCATGCACATTTTTACAACAATCTTAAACCCTATAAAGAATAATAATCAACCGCAAGAAACTTTGCGTTGTTTGTTTTGAGATTTTTCCTATTTAAGCAGAAGAAGAATGTACTATATAATTTTTATATATGAATTATATGAATCGAAAATTATTTGAGGAATATGCCAAATGGGGGCTTACTGTAAACATAAGCAAAACAGAATATTTAAAAATTGGAGGAAATACCACAGATCTGAGTGTTGAAAACGCAGTCATAAAAGGTTGCAACCAGTATAAATATCTAGGAAGCATCATATCAGCAGATGGCAGAGTTAAGATAGATGTACAAAACCGAATAACCCAAGGGAAAAAATGCATCCAAATACTGAATTCATTACTGTGGTCTAATAAAATAAAGATGCATACCAAACTTCGTGTATACAGAGCAATTGTAGAACCGATTACCACATATGGTGCCAAATGTTGGACGATGACAAAGAATGAACGAGATAAAGTAGACGTTGTGAAAATGGATTATCGTTAGAAGGTCATGTCGAGTATCGTGAATGGAAAGAATCAGGAATGAGGAAATACGAAACCGTACAGGAATTAGATATACTCTTTCAGATAGAATACAAGGAAGGCAATTACAATGGTATGGTCACGTGATGAGAATGGAGGAGGAGCGGTGGCCAAAGAAAGCCTTAATGTATGTTCCGCCAGAAAGAAGGAAAAGGGAAAGACCACCAAATTCCTGGAGAAGAGAAATTACAAAAACAATGCAATCTAGAGGCTTAGAAGAGGGAGATTGGAGAGATAGGAAAAGATGGAGGCTGAAATGCGGGAAGCGGCAATCGCCGTAGGCCCCCGTTATATGATGATGACGAATGTACTATTTTTATGTTGTGTTTGTTGTGTACCTTAGTTTTTTGCAAACTATAATTTTAATGTATTGTCGCACATTTAAAAGCTGTAATAATGTGTTCAAAATAAGAGAGAAGAACATATTTTAAAGAGTGGACTTAGTTATACAAAAATATTATTGGCTATTATTTTTCTTTTTTGGTTAAAGTTGTAGCTTTTTGTTTTTTATTCACTATACTAGAAACTTATGCAGTCAGTTTTTTTCAAAATGTTTAGGTTTTTTATTATTATAGTTTTTTTATTTGCTTCAAAAAATTTCATCGAATAAAAATCCGAATAAAAGCATTTTTTTTATTTATTTTTATATTCTTTACCTTCAATTTGTTACTTATTTTAATAATTTCTAAAAATATTTAAAACTGACATAAAAATATTCACGAAAATAAATGAGAAATATTTAAGTAAGAATCAAGAGTATCTGACATTATTATTGTTTAATAAGTTCTTTTTGTAAAGATAAGTTCTTTTTGTATAAAGATACAAATGGACATCTGAAGAAATCAAAAATAGTAAATTTAATAAAAAGATAGTGCATGCATTAAATCAAGTTAGCATGCAGCAGATAAACTCCAATGATATTGATTATTGGAATAACCTTATTACCGAAACAGTGAATACAAGCCTTCTGCAAGTGAAAAAACCAAAAACAACATACAATGAATTAGACAAAGAAATATTACAACAAATAGAAAGAAGGAAGATCTTAAATAAATCTAACAAAAGGGGAACCGAAGAATATAGAGAACTTAATAGGCAGATTAGAAAAGGAATTAGACAACAAAAAAGAAAAGAAAACGAAAAATTAATAACAACTATTAAAAAAAATAAGAGTATGAAATGCCTCAGACCGACACTAGGACGACGTCAGATGATATCATTAATGGGAAAAGACGAAAATGAAATCACAAGTAGAGAAAACATACTGACACGAATAGAAAAATTTTACACAGAACTTTACAGATCACATCAACAAGATGATGAAATGAGACCAGCACGGAAATTAATAAAAAATGTTGGATCAGAAATAATGCCAAAAGTAACAATTTCAGAGGTAACTACAGCATTGGAAAACATGAAGAGGAATAAAGCTGCAGGAGAAGATAGTATTATCACAGATATGATATTAGCAGGAGGTAAGGAACTAATTGCAATTGTAACTAAGCTTGTGGACAGTTGTTTACATCAGGGCAAAGTCCCTAAGAGCTGGAACAAGTCTAAAGTAATCTTATTACACAAGAAAGGTGATAGTCGAAAATTGGAAAACTAGAGACCCATCAGCCTACTGTCATACTTGTTTAAAATACTCATCAAAGTCATAACTACTCGACTAACAAGGAAATTAGATTAGAACAAACAGTTTGTATTTGGAGAACGATTTCCGAAGTGGAAATTGAAACGTCAATAAACGTATTTTTATTATTAATTGTGGCTTATTCCCAGTTTAATAGTAATTAATTAATAAAAGAAACTATGAACCAAGCTACAGCTACATACTACCTAAATGAAAATGAACACACGAACCCTGTACCATTAAACAGGGGAGTCAAACAGGGAGATACTTTATCACCCAAACTGTTCACCTTAGTTTTGGAGGACGTTTTTAAAAACCTAAATTGGAAATATAAGGGAATAAACATCAATGGCCGCTACCTCAGTAATCTACGATTTGCAGATGACATAATCCTGATAGCTACTGACCTACAAGAAATGCAAACCATGCTTTTAGAACTACATACCGAATCTTCTAAAATAGGACTGAAAATGAATTTAAACAAAAGAAAAGTCATGCACTCTGAAGACACCGTGACAATAATAAACGATAAAGTTATAGAAAAAGTTGAAGAATATAAATATACTTAGGACAAAAAATAATCCTAAATAGGGAAATTCAAACTGAAGAAATAAAAAGAAGAAGAAAGTTGGCTTGGGCAGCATTTGGTAAACTGAACTATATACTCAGAAATCAACAACTTCAATTACATCTTAGATCTAAAATTTTTGATGCATGCATTATTCCGATATTAACTTATGCGGCACAAACATGGACAATCACAAAAAGAATATGAATATACTTAGAGTCAACACGCGATGGAAAGAGCAATGCTAGGTATATCACTTAAGGACAAGAAAACCAACACATGGATAAGACAGAAAACCAAAGTCACCGATGTGGTGCAAAAATCATTAAAGTTGAAATGGGAATACGCTGGACATGTAGCTAGGAGCGATCTAAACAAATGGCACAGATCAATTTTAACCTAGAAACCATACCAACACAAAAGACCCAGAGGCAGACCTCCTATGAGATGGACAGATGATCTGAAAAGGACTGCCGGGAAAAATTGGCTACAAGTAGCGTACAATAAAAAACAATGGAAAGGAAGACTTGAAGAGGCTTATGTTCAGATGTGGACGTGAATGGCTAGACGAAGAAGAAGAAGAAGTTCTTTTTGTTAAGGCAATTTAACAATTAAAAGAATAAGTGAAGGTGAGCATATCGTGGGTGATACAGAGGAACGAGAAAAATAAAAATAAACACTACTGTAACAGAACATAAGAGAGAAATAAGGTACATTGCAGGTTATGTTGTATTTGTGTGGTTTACAACAAAACGAAACGGATGCTATGTTCCCGAAATGAAAACGTTAAGAACAATAGTGGGCAAAACAAGAAGAGACAGCAAAGGAAATACAAACGTTAGAGAGCAGTACAAAATTTAAAATATTGTAAGATGAGGAAGGCAGTGTAAGAAGATGTATTACAATCATGTAAGACGAATGGATGATAATAGACTCCCAAAAGTTGCCCTAGAAAACAACCCGCCCGGTTCAAGACCTCCCGAAAGACCACCTAAAAGATGGAGGGATAGTTGGCAATCTACCATTAACCAGAGGCAGCTTCAGAATTAAACAGATCGAAAGATCTTCAAGAAGAACAACCTTAAGAGGGCAGAATCGCTCCCCTTAGGGGTGGTTTAGTGGTGAAAAATTATTTGAGTGGTAATAAATTAGTGTGTCCACTCTAACTCAAGAGTCCCCAATAATGGAAACAGCACAAGAATAAGAAAAGTTTGGCTGAAAGAAAAACAAAATAATTTGTTTAATTTTATAAATTCTTATTCCAAACAAATTCTGGAACAGCATTTTAAAATCTACAATTGTGAGTTTTAGACTATATGAATTAAAATGTAAAAAACCACAAGGAAAAAGCTTCGCAACAGTGTTTAGAAGATATATTATGTGGGATGAATTATTTAGCTTCTTTCTTTTAGCTAGTTCTATCAGATGTTGATTCTTGTAACATTTTTATTTTTTACAAACCAGCAGAAAATCTAAAAGAAGCACCAATCAAAATATGTTACAAAAATAATGATTAAGAGATTCCGCTTAAGAGCTTAAAATATTCAGCTACTAGCTTTTGATCCCAAAGTGTGATTTTTAATAGATTTCCAGAACTTACGCAAAAAATAATTTCGACAAGACGTTTGCCCGTCTTTTGGGATTCTCCGTTTTTAACTTAAACGCCACATCCATGATTACCAAAGAAATTGACACAAACTCATTACACTAACTTATCACTATTGATTGGAAACTATCTAATACTCAGTTACGACCGTTGTGACACTACTCGAATGAATAAACTACATTTATGTAAATGATAAAAAGTTTAAACAAATACGACAGATAAAATGGTAAATTAATTAAATTATTTACAGTTTTTAATACTTAAATTAGACTAATATGAGCACGTACTTTTTAAATACATATACATGCTATAAAACAATGACGTGTTAATGTTAAAATTATTTAAATATATGTATACTGTAAAATATATACAGAGTGGCCCAAAAGTCTGCAAACGGCTAATTATCTCGTAAAATGCTAATCATAATTGTACAAAATTTGAGGTACACCTATTTTGGGATACCAAGGTTCCATATTTGATATTTACAATGTTGCCAGATTTTCCGTTTTTCTTATATTATTAGTAACTATGGTTTTTCAAATACATCACCCTGTATATTCAGTCATTATTGTAATCTCCTATTCAATACGAGTTCAACCATATATAACACTTATGATTTTATGTAATCTGGAAGGTCATAAATACATAAAACCGAAGTCTGGCAACGCCTAAATTGTTTCAATAAATTTTTTAATACTATTTTCAAATACATTAAAACGTAACAATTGATAGTTTAGAATATTTTTTAACATAGTAGTTACGTTATTAAGTGTTCAAAATGTGCTCAATTTGTGAGTTGACAGCACCCTAATCGATGACCGAAGGCGTCTACCACATTTCTCCATGATTGTCTAGAAATTATTCGAGATTCATTGATAATTCGTTGCCTTAGCTCTGCAAGACTTGCTGGTTAACTTTTGTAAACTGAATTTTTCAAGTATCCCTAATAAAAATAATCCTTAGGATTGAAATCGGGTGAACGTGGAGGCCATTCAATTCTACCTTGTCTACCAATTTATCGTCCAGGAAATATCTCATCTAAATATCGCCGAACATTTACACCAACTATCTGACGTTAAATTTCTTTCGACAAAAAATGACCCAATTGAATAAGTAAGTACTATATCTGACCATACATTTAATTTTTGTGGTCTTTGAGTATAGTTTTCACGCATTCAGTCTTCAGTGTGAATTTACGTCACACCAGTACCTTAAATTGTGTCGATTTACACTTCCACACAGTGTAAAAGTAGCTTCAGCGGAAAAACATATTCTGTTAACAAAATTTTAATAATTTTCAATTTTATCCATCATTACCTCAGTAAACTCTAATCTACGACCAAAGTCATCTTCACTTAATTCTTGAACGTAAGACTGAAGAATGACCTACATCATGTACTTGTGCAACCCTGTCTGGGAATGTATGTGGATCTTCAACAGAACTTTGTTTATATCTGAAGTTTTGTTGTCATTGATAACTCGTTTCGGTCAACCTGATCGGTATCCATCTTTTACTTCTCTTATACTTACATATATAAAGTCGATGATAATCTCGTGAACTTTTTGAAGCATATGAAGGCAGAGTGAAAGACTAAAATTCACCTACAATTACCTGGTGAAAACAATATCGAAACTGAAGATATCCCTATTAACCGGGGCCTTTTCCAGGGGGATTCGTTGAGTCCACTTTGGTTCTGCCTGGCGATGAACCCACTATTTCAGCTATTGAACTTCATTGACTCAGGTTTTAGCATCAAAAATATCAATACTGTTGTAGCGAAGCTTGTATATGGATGATTTGAAATTAATGTCTTCCACTCGAAACCACTTAGGGTTGGATGGATGAAGTAAGAAGGCAAGTGGTGTGTTTTGTTTCAAATCACGCTCAAGGAAAAATTTTATAAAACTAGCTATGATATATGAAACTGATTGTTGGACATTTATAAAAAAAAGAAGAACAACGAATGTATGTGGCAGAAATGAGAATGGATGAATATGGAAGTCTAGAGGTGGCACCAATTTTTGTCAAAATGAAAGAGCATGGTTTAAGATAGTTTGGTCAGGTTCGACATCGAAAATGCATTCACCAACATAGAGATAAAGACTCTAGACCTGTACAAGGGTATAATGCTACAGGATTTCATAATCCTGAAAGTCAATTGGCAGCAGTACGACTGGTTTATAATAATAGACGCCTTCAGAAAAAAAGCTATGTTTAAAAATTTTTTTAGAAGTGAAACCCTAAAAACGATTGTAATGAAACTTTTATCATTATACACCATATTATTAGTCAAAATTTGTTTAAGTTCCTTGTTTTACTGGATTTTGTAATTTCATTGTCGCGCCGTATATATATTTTACAGTATATATATTTAAATAATTTTAATATTAACACGTCATTCTTTTATAGCAATCCTAAAGCTACCTCCTAAAGAACATCACTGGACGAGAGTCGTACAAGACGAGGAGATTTGCAATTCTAGACGACCACTAATTGCCCCGTCTGCGGAGCTCTATGCAACAGCGAAGGAACTTTGGCGGTGGGTGGGGAGAGATCTATGCGATTGAAATCGAGTCGACCATTCGATTCGACCAGTCGACCAGAGTAGATTCGTGTGACTCAGATGGCTATGGAGCGCCACATGGCCAGATGTTAGGTGTCTTTCTGAGAAACCGAATCCCAAACGAAGAAATACGTCGTAGAACAAAAACAACGGACGCTATCGAAAAAATCGCGTCGTTAACATAGAATTGAGCAAGACACGTCGCCAGATTACTAGACAACCGATTGACAAAACGTATTTTAGAGTGGGGACCAAGGCAAGAGTCAATAGGGAACAGGGGACGCCCACCAACTAGACTAGATGGACTGACGACCTAAAGCGTGTTAGCAATTTTTTCTAATGTATTGAGTAAAATAAAAACTGGGCCTCACAGACTCCAGCCGACTGGTCACATAATTTGCATGTACCCGATTACTCAAGGGTTAAATTTTACTATATGAAATTAAATTTTATATGCTGAAAGAAAACATAAGTCACAACTTTGGATTTCATTTGTCAAAAATTGTCTCTTGCATTTAATAACGTAATAAAGTAGCAAAATGGTAATAAAAATACTGCTTATTATTAAATTAATTGGCATTAGGTCAAGTACTAACCCATAAGTTATTAGGTCAATTTACTTAATGAGAGTAGTATTTACTATAATAAAAAACGTATCTCAAAAATCAAAGTTTTTTAATGAGTGCGTTATCATAAATAATAACCTAAAATATACAAAACAACTTTCTTTATTGCTACGTTTTTAAACACATAAATTGTTTTTTTAAGAAATGTAATGCATTATAGATAATTTTTACAATATCAGTAAATCAATTACATAAGAATATACTAGAAGTTACCACAAGAATAACTGCTGTCATATTTTACAGAGATCATGCTAACTCTTTAATAATTATTAGTAGTAATAAATTAAGCACATCCACATCTCAAAAAGATGGGCAACAGACATAACTAATATCAGAACGTATCGCGAGGCGAACTCACCAGATCACTATCTTGTGGGGACAAAATTGTGACAAAAAATCGCGACAGTGGCAAACGGAAAAATAGCAAAATTAAAAAATGGAATGTTGAAGGATTCAAAAGTCAAACAAAGATACAAGAATATCAAAATACTTTCCAAATAAAACTTAACGGAATCAGATAGGAAGATACTGCAAAGGAAGAATGGAGACAATTAAAAACAATAATAACGGAATCTGCAGAGGAAACTGCCGGAAAAGCCATAAGGCAAAGAAATGCGGAATGGTATGATGATGAATGCAGAACTGCAGTAGAGAAAAAAGGCAAGCTAGGCTTAACCATCTTCAAAAACACACAAGAAATACCAGACAAATAGATAACGAAAAGAGAATACAAGCGACTAGAATATGCAGAAGAAAAAAAGAGAGGCTTTGAAAAAACACGTACAAGAAATCATAGAACATAACAACAGACACGAGAGCAGAAACTTCTATAAAATAATAAAAGAAAGCACACAGTCATTTAGACCAAAATTGACAATATACAAAGACAAGAACGGAGAACTACTAACAGAGAAACAAAAAATTTTAATGAGATGGAAAGAATACTTTGAGGAAAACCTAACTTAAGACAATGGAAATGATCAAAACAAGATAAAATCCGAGTTATAAAGAAGTAGTTTAAACAATAAAGAAACTAAAAAAAGAGTAAAGCGCCAGGAACGGATGAAGCTTTGGCAGGATTGTAGAAATTTGGAGGACCGACGTCTGGGGAAGAATCCATTACCTGATAAAGTTGGTATGGACCAAGGAGCAAATGCCCAAGGAATGGGGAGTTAGTCTTATACAGCCAATATATAAAAAAGGAGATAGGAGGAAATGTTAGAATTACTCTGACTATATTTAGTATACGGCACTTGTCTAGTCTAAAATGCATACTGATATCATTTAAAAAAAGTTTCTACAGTTCTAAAGTGGGATAAATTTCGGATAACAGAGGGAGTTTCTCTGTACCATGCAGAACATCACTGCTCTCGTCGTCTCGAAGTTCGAGTAAGACGCACATTTTCAGTCATGAAATACGATTATTGTATTTGCTTTCTTCGTTTTTTATTGTTTTTTGCCCTAAAATAAATTTGTTTAAGATCAACGAATATTATGTTCGTTGTTTGTAGTACTACTAGCTTTGTAGAGATATATTGTTTCTAATATAAAATTCGGAAAATTTGAATTTCTCTTTCTAGGTGTTTAATATAAAATTCATGGGAAAGTGTAAAAATAGCCTCAATTGTTTAATTATACAATGAAAGAATATGCCAATATGGATATATAAAAAATGCTCTCTTCTTGGTTGGCAGATGTGAGCAAACAGCAAAAGCAAACTGAATCGACCAGTGTGCGGTGAACAATCGCTCATGCCGCAGGGTTCATATAAGGACGAGCACGACGCATGAACTTAGACGCGTGGCTTCGATTGACCAATATGCGGACGGTCTTAATGTTTCCGCTCCATAAGTGAGTTTAGGTGACATACATTGGTCAAGGATTTTATTTTTGAGGTATATGGGTAGATTCGATTTAAAAACATAGTTTAATTCACCAAACGCTACCCAGGCTAATCCTATGATTAGCCTGCGC